TTCTGTCAAGTTCAGCTATTAAGGTCCACGTTTCACAGCCATATGTAAATGCACTAACAGCTAGTGCGCTGAGCAATTGAATCTTAGTTTTGCATGAAATGTTTTTGGATCTCCATAATGTTTGCTTGTTGGCAAGGACTGATGTTGTCTAGGCAATCCTGGAATCCTGGACGTGATATCTGGTCTTGACCCATCACTTAAAATGGACCCTAAAAATTTGACATGAGTCACTTGTTCTAATTTGTGGCCTTAAACGTAGATTGTTGAAATTCTGCCAAATGGATTATTAGTCATTACTTTTGTTTGCTCTGCGTTTATTTCCAAGCCATACTTGGTCGATGTTTCATCGAGTAGATTTACCAGCTCGACTAGCTCTTGTTCTTCTCCGGCGACCCCATCGAATGTCATCTGAAAACCTTAAGTTTGTTATAGTTCGACCTCCTATACTAACCGTTCCATGATGTTGTCTAGGGCATCAGTCATAATTCTTTCTTAAGAAGATGTTAAACAGTGTTGGAGAGAGGAGGCAGCCCTGATGGGCTCCTATTGTTGTTGGGAACCAGCTTCTTAGTTGTCCTTTCAGTGTGACAGCACTACTGGCTTTGGCATTGAGCTGTTGTATACTTTGTATGAGGGTTTTATCCCTAAAGTACTTTTTCATGGTGTCCCAGAGTGCTGCATTCCATACTCTATGAAAGGCCTTTGTGAAATCAATGAACACATGGTATAGATGTTTTTGCTGCTGGTGGTATTGCTCAGATAGTATATGTAGATTCAATATCAACAGTGTTTCTCCCAGCACAGAAACCCGCCTCTTCCTCTGCTAGGATCTTTTCTGCCTGAGGCTTTAATCTGTTTAGGAGTATCTTCAGCCTGACTTTACTGGGAAGACTGATGAGACTTAAAGTCCTATAATTTTGACATTGTTGTAAATTCCCCCTTTGTTGGGATGGTAATGATGTGTGATTTGGTCCAAAGAGATGGCCATTCACCAGTATCCCAGATTTCAGTGGGGATGACGATGACGTCCCCCCCCTCCCCCACCCCCATCCCGCCCTAAGGATCTCTGCAAGGATATTGTCAATTCCCCCAGCTTTCCCATTTTTTTTCTTCAGTTTTGATGGCCAATTCTATTTCATCCCGGAGTATGGGGAAGCTGTCGTCTTCCTGTGCTTGGCTGTTATCAAGGATGTCGGTGTTGCTATTTGTTTGTTCGTTATGCAGGCTCAAACATTATTCAGACCATCTATTTAGGATGTCATTACTTTCTGTAAGTTACCTTCTGTGACTTAGTTGGCATTGTTCATGACTTTTTCTCTTGATTGATGTTTTAGATAATGCTAAAAGCTTTTTTAACTTTTGTTCAACTTGTTACAGTCTTCTGTTTCTGCACATCTGCTATCTATCCAACTTTACTTTTCCCTCTTGCATGCCTTTTCTAATGTGAATATTCATCTTTCTATACTTGTCTGCTAGTTGAGGATTGTGCCTGTCTTTCTTGAGGTACCTTCGCTGGTCACACATGTTAAGAATTTTCCAGAGTGACCCATGATTGCTTTGATTTCTGTGTGTATCCCACCAATTTTGTGTCTAGATTTTAGGGTTATCAGGTAAACAAATTCTCAGACAATGCTGTTAACTGAAATCATGACAAAAGCCTGAAAACAGTGCTACGAGGGTTGTGGATTTCAAAAACGTAAATCAAATACCTGAAGTAAGCACTTCAAGTAAATTGCCAAATAGCCATTAAAAAGTTCAAAAAATGTTACTATGATAAGCAGAAATGGCATACCATAGATGTGTGTGGTGTGTGTGTGTGGGGGGGGGGGGGGGGGAAACAATCTTTCAAACCTTTTAAATCAGATTACATTATAAAATAACATCATTATCAATATTTTAATTATAAATAGTGGCGGCAGTTTGTCTCTGCCTTATGTGCCTCTGGGTGGGATGAGGATTGATGGATTGAATGATTTATTAAGTATAAAATCAAAGCGGATCAAATATTCGTCTGGAGCGGACATGTTGGATCACTGATCTTAAGTAAAGCAATGTGGTCACTAAAGTCTTGTTTTGCAAAAATCCTTTTCTTGTTAAACTTACCACATTTATGTAAAAATGAATGTGTATATAAAAAAAAAAAACTAAATTGCTAGACTTGCTAGTTTAGAAGATATTAGCAAACTTACTTACTGGTAAAGTACACTGCGTGCTGCAAAAAAAAAAAAAATTTGATCGTTTGCGCAACAAAACAATGTTATGTCACAGCCAGGCATCTCAGCATAACTCCTAATAATTGCCTCAATATGATTTTTCACGTAAAGAGTATGGAAAAAAAGTTTCCTAATGAGGAATAATGCAGCTTTATTTTCAGGGTCGCAGTGCATCCACTGCACCGTCCCCACCTCAACCCCCCCCCCCCTCAAAATGGCATCTCGTTAACCTCTGCTTTGAAACCGTTAGCAAGCCTACTATTAAACATTGTCATATTTAAAAAAATCATTTTTTCTCCTCTTATGCACATGTTTAAATAAATCTAATAGTGAATCATCATCATAATCAAGCAAGTAACCAAGACCGTCATAATTTTCTGATCTGTCACATCACTACTGTGTGCTTTATTTTAATATTTACTAGTAAATTAACTATCATATGGTATCTGCGGATCACAGATTGTGGAAAGGCATTATTGCTCACACCAGTCGGCAAGGTACTTGAGGATAATGATGTTAGAATGTGTTAAAAAAAAAAAATTTTTTCAACGTTCATGATAATATCTATCAACTACTGTTTTTTTCCGCGTGGATTTTTATCATGGTATGGGGCGTCGCAGGTCGACCCAGCCTAAAATGGGTACCAGGATGGGCTGTCCTGGGAAAGTAAAGACAGCCGGCGTAATGCTGACCACATTAGTGCTGATTGGTCTGTAAAAATATGGGCGCTCTTCCCATATTCCCGATACGCCTAAAGGCATGGAAAGGGATCTTTTCTTTACTTACTGTTTTTTCCTAGATGGCTTCAGGCATACTGTATATACATTTTTATTGAGCGATATACATTGAGGTTTTGAGTGATTTCTAAACATAAAAAATCAACTTAACTCTTTCAGGCCCATGAATTTTGACAGACTTGGCCCACATTAATTTCCTTTTACAAAAATGGCAGAGGGGTGGGTGTACAAGAAAGGCTGTAGAGATTGTAATATACTTCTAATCCCTATAAAAGTATATATTTTTTAAAAGAGAAATGAATGTACTTTTTGAATCTGATGATATAGTTAGTGGAAAAGAAGAATTCAGCAGGTGTTAATTTCACAAGGACAACATTTCACACAAAAATTCTTCACTTACCATGGTTTTGCAGCCACAAGAATAGTAAATATCCACATTTGAGAACAAAACTTCAAATTTTGTTCAATTTCGTAACATATTCTAAAGTTATGATAACTTTCTGGGTTAGTTTATCACTCAGAGGCTCTTAGTTCCCACCGAGTGCTAAGCAAAATTTCAGAGAAAAAATGGCAGAAAAATGAGCCAAAACACACACACTATTTACTATTCACTTTGTACAGTTATTTACAGACTGTAGCTGCGATGATTTCAATGTAGCTTAGCCATAGTATAGTACTATCTCTTTGTTTAGAGCACTTTCCTTCTCTTACACCATAAATACGGTAGTATGGGACATTGTCTGTGTAATAAACTTGTCAGAATCGCTAGATTCCGAACAGCTGATCGCTCTTAATTAAAAACATCTGACTGAAACAATTTCAGAGCTTCGGCCGCAGAAAGACGCATTCTGCGACCTGTTCTTGTGGTTAGAACATTGGTATTCAGTGCACTCAAAAACGAACTTAGAAAATTAACTGTTAAAAAATATTTGATGTTTTTTTCTCTCAAATTATCCACGTGTGGTTTAGTCCAAGAAATGAAACTAAAAGGATTTCGGCAGAGTGACTTTCCCTGAATAGGTTGTTTGTACCTCCAAACATTAGAAACTAGTACGAAAGCGCGTGCGAAGCAAAATGTAAAAGATACACAAATGACGATTACACCGTTGTTTGGGCAGAACGGATCTTCTCAAACTACGCTCACACCGTTGTTTAGGCCTTAAAAAGTTAAAGAGCTGCAATTTCAGCTGACCTGGTCAGCTGCTACACTTCTGAAAACCTGGCTAAGTTCAGCATTTTATTCAGCTTGGCTTTCTGTATACTTAGAGTTGAGCTAGTTTGAGCTGTAATTTGCACACAAATTCTTAAACGTCCTTCTGACAGTGCTTTGCTAAATGACTAATTCAGATTTCACATATGGACCAAAGTCTACGGTTTCACTGCCTATGCTACTGAGTTAAGTGCCTGGTGCAGCACTGTGAGCTGTTTTTATATTTTGCTTTTCATTTCTGCTGTGGTTGTCGCCGTATTTAGTATATGTGGGCTTCGAAATACCTTATGTAATAATTTTGTGACCACTTCCATAATTGATAAATGTCTTTTTGTTGTTGCGACTGCTGTCTTAATCCCTCTTGCAACTGCCTAATACATATACTGTGTTATCATATTTCTGTACTGTATTAGGACTAATTGTTTTTCACAAGTTTTTTAAAAAAATGGGATTACTGAAACAGGAATGGGGCAAGTATGGGGAGACCTGATTGCAATGAAGCTGAAACCTCAACTACTACTATGACCGACATTTGTTACTTTTTTCTTAAATAATGTTGGACTGTATTGGAATAATTGTAATATAATCTGAAGAATCATAATATTCTTTTTACCCACCTGCTGAAAATTACTAGCCATACACACTTTATCTCTACCCCTCTTTTCCTCTCTTATTTTCTCTCCTGTCTAACTCTTTGTCTTTCACTTGCACAATTTTAAATTCATTAAAAAAAAATATAATAAGTATGCTTTATTTGAATTCACAGTGCATCTGTAGGATACATATATACAATATGTGGATACCCAGTACAGCAGATGTAGTAGCAGGGGAACTGAGAAAATGTCAGACAGCCTGCCTACCATCAGTGCTGATCAGCTGACAAAGGCTGTCTGTCTTGCTGCTGCTGGAACACTCTCTGCTCTTGAGACTGATGGGGAGAATGAAGCTGTTTTTGAGTGGCAGAACTGTGGTAAGTATTTTGCAAATTAAGTATAACATTTAACAACTTTTAAAAAAAAGAAGTGCTAATTGCTTATAACCGAAAATGATTAAATTGAGTCTTTCAAAGATTTTGTTAAAAATTAGATTTTCTATGTACAGTACCCTTATCAGCATTATTGAGTTGTTCCACACAGGTATGAAGTGTACAGTCAACTTTGATGTTGTAACATTGGAGGACTTTGTAATCAACAATGCTGTGTACTTGCTTCTACCCTTTTTGGAATATACTTTCCTCTTCTTTTTGAAAGATACTTTTTGAAATCAGCAGGGTGGTATATTCATCCATTCTCAGTCTGACGGCAGCCTCTACAATGCTCGTAGGCTGAAAACCGAAACCAGGATCAGGAAGATACCTATCGGAGAGTGTGCAAATGATGCAGCAATTACCACCAAACCATAGGAGGAGCTGCAATATGTACTATCTACATTTGCTGATGCATGCTGTGAATTTAGACTAACAGTCAGTAAAAAGAAGACAAATATTATGGTCCAGAGTGTTAATAATTGACCTGCAGCATACATTAATGGTGAAGAGCTGAAAACAACTGACCATTTGACCTGTCTAGGATCCACATTTAATAAAAAACTATCACAGGAGCAAGAAATCAACATCAGGATAGGTAAGGCAGCAACAACAATGAACATGTTAACAAAAAGGGTTTGGGAGAACAGACAGCTCATGATTAAAGCAAGAAATCTTGTCAGTCAGGTTTGTGTTCTCAGCACTCTGCTTTATGGTAGTGAAACTTGTTCAACATTAGCACCAGGAGAAACGGCTAAATAGCTTTCACATGCGCTGCCTAAGAAGAATACTTGGCATTCAACACTGGCAAGACAGGTCACAAACTTTGAGGCATTGGAAAGAGCAGCTACTTCAACAGTTTTCTTAGTGCCCACTCTGTGAAGGCCCAGGTGGCTTAGTTACACCTGAATGGAGAATGGAGGGATGGCAGAGTTCCCAAAGACATCCTAACCTACCTCTATGATGAATTACAGATGTGTAGAAGATCTGGAGACCAACCTCTACTATTATATAAAGACATGTGCAAGCGGAACATAAATGATACAGGTGTCGAGATTGATTCATGGGAACAAAATGCAATGGATGATATTGCATGGCAGGGGCAAATCAGCAAGGGAATGAGAATGAAGGAAGAAATGATTGCAGAAAGGATGAGAGCTGAACGTCTGAGAAAAAACACACTAAACACAAATGATAACAACACCGGTCCTAAAATCCCATGTTATAATTGTGGAAGACTTTTATTAACGCGGGCGAGTCTTGCTAGTCACACTCATCATCACCATGGGCTGTGTCTCCCATTCCTCCTCATAGCACAGTATTACACTATCGTCTGAAAAGATGAACAAGTGCCAGCAATGAACTGTCAGTAAGAAAACGCCTGTTTTCACACCTTAGGCCTATAGTGGGTACCCCATATTTTTCTGCAGAGAAAGTGTGCTCACCAAGTATATGTGAATGTCTAGCACTTCACACACTTTCAGCGTTAACTGTCATGGAATTGCCTTTGCTCATCAGAGCAGAATAGCATGATATAAATAGATCTGTTTTAAATATGTGTGTGTCTCTCCCTCTTTTAAAAAATAATTTTGTACATCTAACTTTTCATTTGACTACATTTTTTTGTAAATATTTTAAATGATGATGCTTTACGTTTGTTTATTTTATTTCAGACAAAACCATTGACACAGTGAAGCCAGACACAAGGCATTCCTCCCTGAAATGCCTAGAGACACTGTCAACATCAGTTTCCTCTGGTCTCGGCAGATTAAATCATTTACACTTAGATAAGCCATGTCCTGTGTATTCTACTAGAAGTCTCAAGTCAAACGCAAAACAGAGTTCTAAAAATGAAAAATCTTCTTCCTCTGTTACTAAGGTGTATTCTAGTCGCAAAAATTATAAATTAATGCCTCCCTTAATTCCAAGTGAAGTTCGAACAGACTTAAAGAAGCCAGCTCAAAAGTTGGTACAACAGCGACAGTTGGTGACCCTAAGTCATGTACATAGTTCACCAGAGTTTAAGTCCTTTCCTGTGAGACCAGCATCTTATGCCACTAATTACGTGTTTGTGAGAACAGCTCATATTGTTCCTTCAGTTCCAGGAGGAGAAGCTGCAGTGTCATCTGTTGCAAGTCCATCTACATCATCTGTTTCTTCCTCACCAACTACAGCTTCTTGTGTGAAAAATGTTAACTTCCCAGTTTCAGAATCTTCAGTCACCACAACTGCTTCTGCTGCAAAACTGCCCATTGGGACACCAGTATTGCTTCCATTTTCTCAGATGGAGCAGGGATTCCAGAGCACACCCTCGCTGTCACTGACCTTGACTGCACACAATGATATTAAACACCCAGCAAGGCTTGTGCCATCAACAAAACTCCAGCCATTGTTCCGACTCCCTTTCCCTGTCAGTAATATTAACTCCAATGTGGTAGTAAAGGCAGTAACACTTTCTAACGAAGCCAACACCTTGAATCAAGTCAAAGAGAATCTTTGTGTAGATGCAGCAAACTCTCATTCAGAATCTCAGACAATTCTCATAGACAGTGAAACAGCCAGTTTGTCTGATAGTGTTTTAAAGCAGCAAGTTCTGTCAACAGACAGCTCTTCGAAGCCAGTCGTTTGCTCCATAAAACAAAACATAGTCCCAGTGTCAGCTCCAGCTTCTGAACTTTCTTTGCTGACATCATTTCCTTCACCTATCATAGTCACGGCAAAGCTGAGTCATGGATCAACACTGACTGTTGATTCTAAGCCTTTTCCATCGACAGTCAGTACAAAGTCTTCACACCTTGGCGCTCACACTGCAATAATTCCACAACCAGGGTCAGTGACCTCAGCCTCTAGCAGTACAACCAGTCCTGATGACACAAAAAGCTCTGGTTCAGTAATGAGTCCTAGCCGTCATCTTTCCCCTGTCACAGATGGTAGTTCACTTCAGACATTTGATACACCAAGGTTAAAGTCACCAGTTATTTTAAGTCACTTAGTAAAATCCATAAACAAACAGCACATAGCCACACAAGCCAGTGTTGTGAGGTTGACCAGCTCTCACTTAGGGCATACTAAACCACTGAATCGAGGTGTTATATCAAAGGGGCAAGCACTTGTAAACAAGAAATGCAATTCTAACCGTAGCAATGACAGGATGGATAATGTCAGTGAGGATCACTGTATGGATGTTCAGGATAGCATGCATTGTATTACAGCCATCAGTTTAGCAGATAATCAGATGACTAGTTTGGTTCCCCATCCTGCTTCTCAAGTTGAAGAACCTCATTTGACCAGGGCAAACACTGCCAGATTAAGCACTTCTGACAGATCCAAGTATCTGATAGAGGCTAACAAGTCAGTCAAGAGAGATTGTAAAGGCCCCAAGCAGAAAAGGTCAAGAACAATGCAACCCAGACTTTGTCCTTTAATACCAGTTTCTCCAAAATCATCTGAGCGTATTGATTCACAAGCAACAACTGTAAAGGCCACCACTACAGCACTGCTCAGCACTTCCCTGGCAACCCCTTTCAGCATTGCTGTATCCAGAGAGACCAACACAATTTTCACACCAAATTTGCACTCAATACCTAGTACCCCTCAGTTTACACCAGCGGGAAATGTTTCACCTGCGTCATCATGCATGTCCAAAACAGAGAGTGAAGACCAGCAAAATAACGGTAGCGCAGTCAACATGACAACTTTCTCGACCCAACATCATTCCCTGACAGTGCTCGCAGTTCCACACAAGCTTCAGCAGATCCAGAAACCATGTATGTATTATTCTCATGACTTTATTATTATACTTTTGTTAGTACGTGATATATTTTTTAATTTCTGCGTCTTCTTATACATTTGTATCACACATTGAAGCCCTAAGCTAGCTCATTCCAAGCTCTCAGTACACATGCTCACCTTGTGGGGGTTCGACAGCCGCATTTTAAAGGAGAAAGGAATAGTCCCGTTTTCTTTTTCTTAACAAGCATGTTATAATAGGTCATTAATTAAGAATTTGCTGAAATCAAATGTGCTAGGTTAAAGGGCACAAGTGTTATAACCACAGCGGTAACCACAACACAATGTGCTAACCACCTTTGTAAGTGTCAATTCAGGAAAGACACTGAAGCAAGATGAGATGCGGCTTCTATTCTCTGTCCACATTGTTCAAGATCTTGCAGTGCTAGAATTGGCCTTATCGGGCATCTGCACACTCACAAAACAGAACCCTGTCACCATTGGATGAAAGACTGGTCATCATCACGTGTTCCCCATGCAAAACTTAAGTTCTAGAACAAGACCAAAATCCAGGAGTGGCTGAATAGCTAGAACCTTCAGCCAGAGTTTACAGCTGGTGAATGCCAAGAAGAAGTTCTGGTTCATAAAGAACAAGACATTACTCTTACTTGTGAACAGATATAAGGATGACAAGGGAAGAGTATGCAGAGCTCTCCTTTTGCTCTACAAGTCAGAAAAGCAGTATATTGTTTTGTCAGCAGACTCAACCCCATGTCTAGAGGTATTTGTTATATGATATATTGTCTAGTATTTTTGTGTATGTGTCAGCCTTCACGGTTATTTTGTTTGTGAAAACACAATGATTTCATCTTTTGCTTTATATGTGTCTAAAATCTCCCTCTCTCTCTCTCTATCTGTCTATTTATCTATTTACCTACCTATCTACCCGCCTGTCTGTCTGTCTGTCCATCCATCTGTCATCCATCCATCAATGCATCTGTCCATCTGTCTGTTTATCTGTTTTATCTACCTGTCTAAATGTCTATCCATATATCTGTCCGTCCACCTGTTTTCTCCTTTTTTTTTTCTTTCTTATGTTGGTTTATGCTTTGATATCATGCCATGCATTTCTATTAATAATTAATTAATACATTATTTCAAATTTGAAAATACCTGTGGAAACACTCATTGGCTGACACTCAAAAATTTACTTTGCTATTCTCAGTGTTAGGCGCAGCACAGAATCATTTACAGACAGCTCATTGGTCAACAGCAAATGAACAGAATATTCAGTTGACCTCAAAATTTACATCAACAGGTTCATGGCCGCCTACGCCACCATCAGACTTGTATATTAAAGACGTAAATGCTTTCCCTTGTACGGTGTCTTCCCAAGTGACCTTGCCCAGAGCCCCATCAGTGGGCATACCTCTCTTGCCATCACCAAAAGAACCATCAGTCGCACCACAGTCTACTAGTGATATGTCTGTACCTTTGTCAAAAGAAGTTGCAGCTGCTGCCATGGTATCATTGTCTACAATGTGTGATTTCTCGGACTCCGAAAATACAGCTAAAATATCTTCCAAAGGCTGTTTTGGTCCCAACCAGCAGATTATAAACTCATCAGGCTGTGCTCAACCAACACAAGCATACCCTCCGTTCCTAATCCATTCATCAGACAAATCCAAGTTGGTTATATCTCCAGCAGGCATCGAGCATTTGCAGTCGCTGCTTCGAAAACAAGGAATTTCTGAAGGATACTTCATCATCACTTCACCGAGAACTCCATCGTCACAAACAGATAGAAAACCTCTCCCCGCCGAACCAAATGCAAATATATCCCTATCTGAAAGTCCTCATAATAGCAGGAATAACTTGTTTACCAAGAAGGCAGCACAAGCTTCTGTGTCAGTTTCTTCTGAGAAATATCAAACAAGCAGTCTTCCGGTGTCAACATTTGTTAGGACATTTGACTCAAAAAAAGTACATACTCAGAGTCATAGTGTTGAGGTTCATGGAAGAGATGATGGCTTGGTAGACAAAGAGGAGAGTCTAGATTTAGAGAGTGATGAAAGTGACAATGAACATTGCTCATCTTCAGATTCAAGATCTAGTTCTGCGGCTCTTGTTATTGAAACTGGCGAGGAGGATGATAAAATAGAAATGGATAGACAGGGTAGTGATTTGTCTCCTAGGGAAAATGATGAGGCGGTTAGAGAAGACATCTTTACCAGTGAATCAAATGAGATCAAAACAGCTTCAGATGAGAGCTCCACAGCTCAACGCAGTCTTCCAAAACTGACTCAAGACACAGCTTGGGAAAGTGAAAGCATGCACACTGAAGATACCAGGCAATGCATCCCTCAGAGTCCACTGTCTCTTAGTGATCTAGTCAGACAGCAGCAGAACAGGCCAGGGTTTTCTAGACATCTTGAATATACTTTCCTGACATCACCAGAAAACAAGATGAAAGAAGCAGCCAGAAGAATTGATTCAGAATCACCAAGACCTCCTTCTACAGAAAGTCATGATTTTCAGTTCCCAGTACCTTTATGTCCTGCATCAACCTTCAGCATGGCTTCTCAGCATCACCACCATCATTCAGGCAGTGATATACAGCCCAGTTTCCAGCAAAATATGTTTGTGTCAGCCCCCTCATTTTCAACAGATCTCTCATTCGACAGTGGTGTTCAGGAGAATCCTCCAGACACATCACCAAAGCTCCTGCCAAGCTCAGTTAATGCGCCCAGCCCCAAATCTCCTCTGTCTGTATCTTCCAGCCAGAACTTGGACCAGAATGCACCTCTGAACCCTCCAATGACACCAAATACAATGCTTATAAATCTCCTAAACAGAGTCCCTACTCCTTTCCTCACAAACCCCCAAGAGATATTATCTATACCAGCATCTCAGGAAAGCGCTGTTCAAGAATCAGACAGTGCAGCTTGTTTTGAAATAACTGACAGTAAAGATGGTAATGGAATGTATTCAACAAAGAATCTTGGCTTCCCTTCAGGACAGTCTCACACACAGCTGGATGGAACTGGAGGTGCAGGCGATGGCCTTTTGTACACTGAAAGTTCAACAAGTCTTTCCAATACTACAGCAAATTATGCTGCAGCACACAATGCCCTCGAGCTAATTGCCTCCAACTATTCACCGAACAGCACAAGACACAATGTACTCTCTCATGACATGAGCAGTTCTCGGCTGCCATCCAGTTTTTCAATGAATAATTCCAAGTCTTTCAACCATTCTTCCTATACCCATTGCAATGTTTCCGGTGAATCCCAACCTTTACATTTTTCTGGAAGCTTTCAACAGGAAACGGAGAATGGTGATGTTTGTAATGTTTTCCACTGCAAATCTTGCCCAGGTCCCTTGCTGGTAACTGTAAACCTAGAGCCTGAGATGGCCAGCAGGGAACAGAAGGCAGCTGAAAGCTTGCTGGGAAACTATGAGCATACACACATGTTTGACCCATCTTTAAGTCTGCAGGAACATGGTTGTAATGGGGGCCGATCAGAGGTCTCTAGAATGGGGCCGGAGAAGTCTAGAGACACAGACATTCTGCGACATTTGATACTGAATACCAGCAGCTCTTCCCTACATACCCTGCAGCCAGTTCAGAACCTACGGAGTCAGTATAGCAACTCTGCCTCAACTTACAATATGCCCCAGACTCATCATGCCCAGGACACTCAGTTTGAGTGCAGGGTAGAGTCCTTTCTGGAGCCAGAAAATCAGCACAAACCTTTGTCTGCAGGTGAAATCAACCAAAGCAGCACTTTTAGTTCACAAGATGAGAGCTTCTTGCACGTCAACCATGTACATACACGACCATCACCCTCATATGACAACTCCAGCACTTCGTTCCAAGCCGCACATCATCAGTCTTACGAAAACACTGCCAGCGGTTCATTTGATAACAGAAACAGCTCATCTTTAAGCAGTCAGACTGATGCTTCTTACATTATGCAGAGAGATATGACAAATGAAGCACCATTTGGTGTGCAAAACATGACAAAGAACAACATGGCAATGCCCCATGATTTCTTGGAATCTGGCAATCGGCTACAGCACCTTGCACCATTTAGAACAAACCACCAAACCGAACTGTTTTATCAGCATTCAGATCAGTCAGAACTCCATCAACACCATTATGACACAGCTAACCAGCATCAGGGTCTTGAATATCATCTGGACAGTCTGCCATCTTCTCACCCGCCACACCACCAGTTCTCTGCATCACTACCACACCAAGACTCCACCAGAATGTACTCAGACCAAGTGGGCAATGAGTATATGAGTGGCCAGTACCAGTCTCAATACTATGATGGTGGAAGTGTGGCATCCAACCTTCCTATGTTTCCTCAGCAGTGTGTTGTTGGATCTGAAGCCCCTGCTATAGGCAGCGCAGCAGAACACCCTTGTAACATCCCATTCAGCACTGCTCCAAGTGGTGAGTATTTTGTAGTTTATGGTAATCATGGAAGACGCTGGACTCCCAATGTGTATAGGTTTCACTTCTTTTGTGCTACCAGTATGTTCAGACCATACCGGTAAAATACCACTCAGCAGTGCTCCGAGTGGTATGTGCAGACCACATTGATTACTTCCCATTCACCGGTGTTCCAAGTGCTATGTTTAAGCCATACTGGTTACATCCAACTTATCACTACTCCAAGTGGTAACATCCCATTCAGTAGACCCCTAAGTGGTATGTTAAAACAATATTTATTCTTAGAGACACTCCACTTGTGATATGTAAGTAGCATTTCATCCTTTTATGTGACCAGTACAGAGATACAAAACGTACAAGCTTCACAGCATAAGGTGAATAGCTTAGTCACTTTACCCTGAGGACTCCTCACAGTATAAGGTGAATAGCTTAGTCACTTTACCCTGAGGACTCCTCACAGCATAAGGTGAATAGCTTAGTCACTTTACCCTGAGGACTCCTCACAGCATAAGGTGAATAGCTTAGTCACTTTACCCTGAGGACTCCCCACAGCATAAGGTGAATAGCTTAGTCACTTTACCCTGAGGACTCCTCACAGTATAAGGTGAATAGCTTAGTCACTTTACCCTGAGGACTCCTCACAGCATAAGGTGAATAGCTTAGTCACTTTACCCTGAGGACTCCTCACAGCATAAGGTGAATAGCTTAGTCACTTTACCCCTGAGGACTCCCCACAGCATAAGGTGAATAGCTTAGTCACTTTACCCTGAGGACTCCTCACAGTATAAGGTGAATAGCTTAGTCACTTTACCCTGAGGACTCCTCACAGCATAAGGTGAATAGCTTAGTCACTTTACCCTGAGGACTCCCCACAGCATAAGGTGAATAGCTTAGTCACTTTACCCTGAGGACTCCTCACAGCATAAGGTGAATAGCTTAGTCACTTTACCCTGAGGACTCCCCACAGCATAAGGTGAATAGCTTAGTCACTTTACCCTGAGGACTCCTCACAGCATAAGGTGAATAGCTTAGTCACTTTACCCTGAGGACTCCTCACAGCATAAGGTGAATAGCTTAGTCACTTTACCCTGAGGACTCCTCACAGTATAAAAAAAAAAAAGCTTGACTGACATTTTTTGTATTATCATGCTGACTGACATAAATAAATTTCCCCTCCCCCCTCCCAAAAAGACATTCGGCCTATGAAAACTACTCTGTAGCTCTATATATTTGCTAACACTTTTCTATACCACAGAAGCCAATTCACAGATATCTTTCTCTTACCGCTTCTTGTCTATCTCACCAATAATCCTACTAGGATTCACAGATTCACTGATATCTTTCTCTCACCATTCCCTGTGTGTCTCATCACTAATCCTACCAGCATTCACCGAGTATTTCCATTGTTTAAACATTCTCTAGTGGACAATTCAGTGGATCAAATTGCAGGTGGCAGGTAATGCTACAGGGTACCAGTGTTAGACTTGATATATGCTAGCTCATTTTTTTCTTGTGTTGAGCAACGCGCTCTTTTTCTCATTAACTTCTTTATGAAGGAATAAATAATAATCAACCTTGTATCTTTGAACTTTTGTTCCATCAAAATACTGACACCCTAAAAGGTCTCAGCATCAAGGAAGATTGACTAGTAAACAGCATCTTGTCTCAGGAACTGAAATATTTAAAATAGTAGATGGCATGATGCCAGGAAAGAGGGGCAGGAGCTGACCAGTTTGAAGATGGGCACAAGGTATAAGTGATACCTTGGGTAGGAAAGCACACGAGGGTGGACCAAGATGCGAGCCACTTTCTGCAAAAGACCTACTGTGTGATATTATGATGTTCCATCAGTGATTGCAGTCTGTGTTTAAATCAAAGAAAGATACGCATTCTCATATCTTTGGAAATCAAGAAATAGCATATTCAGGGGCAAAGACTGATTTTAAATGTATTTCTTTTCCAGAGCTACAGTTAGGATTCCGCTTTCCATCAGATGATGAGGATGGGAACAACATAGAGAAACAGCCGGTGTTGCCTAGCGTGTCCTTCTCACCTCCCAGTGTGGCAGACCAGGCAGCCACTCCTGATCCAGGAGGGATGAGCATGTACCAGGGAAGCTTTCCCAACATCAGCAGTAAGTTTTATGATTGATTGTTCATTCTGAAGCAAGTTTTGATTGTTCATTCTGAAGCATGTTTTGATTGTTCATTCTGAAGCAAGTTATGATTGTTCATTCTGAAGCAAGTTATGATTGTGCATTCTGAAGCAAGTTATGATTGTTCATTCTGAAGCAAGTTATGATTGTTCATTCTGAAGCAAGTTATGATTGTTCATTCTGAAGCAAGTTATGATTGTTCATTCTGAAGCAAGTTATGATTGTTCATTCTGAAGCAAGTTATGATTGTTCATTCTGAAGCAAGTTATGATTGTTCATTCTGAAGCAAGTTATGATTGTTCATTCTGAAGCAAGTTATGATTGTTCATTCTGAGTCAATCTTCAGTCTCTACACAGAGCATAACACTTGTTCAATAAGCTAAAGGATATGGCTATGGCTGAGTGGTTAGGCCACTTCCATGACAGCCTGAAGATCCAGGGTTCAAATTCACATCGAGTAGTACTTTTTGATTTCAAAATCAACATTGGCTCTGTAGTCAGCAGGAGCTGATAGATTACCAACAGAAATAATTCAAGCAGCAGGTGAAAGCAGCATCAGATGGCTTCACAGAATATTCAATGCAGCATGGGTACAACAAACGGCCCCTATTGATTGGCAACATGCAATAGTTATACCATTGTGGAAGAACAAAGGAAGCAAACGAGAATGCGGTCAATATCGAGGCATCTCTCTTTTAAGCCATGTTGGCAAAATGTATGCCAAGATAATAGAAACAAGACTGAGACCAGTGATAGAACCACAGCTGGCAGAAGAACAGATGGGATTTAGGAGAAAAGAAGCTGCACAGATGCAATCTTCACACTTAAACAGTTAATAGAAAAGAACATTGAATACAATAAGAACTTATTTGTGGCATTCTTAGACCAGGAGAAGGCATTTGACAGTCGACAGACAATTATTATGGAAAATAATGGCAAGATATGGAGTAAGCAAACACCTCATCGAAGTGTGCAAAAGTTTATACAGGGATTGTAGAAGTGTAGTTAGAATAAATCAGGGAACATCTCATCCTTTCACAGTGACATCTGGAGTAAGACAGGGGTGTGTCTTATCACCACTGCTGTTTATCACCTACATCGACAGTATATGCAAGAATGCCAAGCCCATGAATGAAGATCTTAGTAAGATCAACGAATTACTCTTTGCAGATGACCAGGCCTTGATAACAGATGCAGCCATGAAATTGCAACAACATCTAACATCCATGAATGAAGAATGTAAAACAAATAATATGAGAATCAACACTGAAAAGACAGAAGTAATGTCAATAGAAAAAAAGAAGGCATCTGAGTTTAAATATCTGGGAACTACATTTACCGAAGATGGGAAATTGGATAAAGAAATTGACATTAGATGCAGTAAAGCAAACCAAGTATTGGGACAGCTAGCCCCCCTCTTACAGCAAAAGACAATCCCAATCAGCACAAAGAGACATCTTATTCAAAGCATATTTATTCCAACTCTGTGCTACCAGTGCCAAACATGGTCACTCACAACAAACCATAAAAGAAAATTAGTAACCACGGAAATGAGATGTCTGAGAAGGGCTGTAGGAGTGACCATAAGAGATAAGATCAGGAATGAGATCATAAGAGAACAAGTCGGCACAGAACCAATTCTGGATTACAGCAAGTGAAATAGTTTGCCCACTTAGAGAGAATGCCTTGTGACACCATACCATACAAAGCATACATGGAAAGAGAAGAAGGACGTAGAGCACGGGGTAGACCAAGAACAAGATGGAAGGATAACATCAGAGAAACTCTACAACAGCACGATGTGCCTATGGTCGAGGCAGCCAGAAGAGCTAGAAACAGAACCTTATATCTCCCTCGACACCCACAGCGGTAAAAGAGGAAGTGAAGAAGAAGAAGAAGAAGTCAGCCCAGCCTAAAACAGGTAAAGACCTGGAAAATAAAGGCTGACGGTGTGATGTTGATCACATCACCCGTCAAGTGCCAGTTGGTCAGTCAAAATATGAGTTTAGTATAATATGCCTAATCCTCCACTGGCTTTAGCAATAAGCTAACGACAGAAGACTGATAAATGTTACTGTGGATTTGTACAATGACGGCTATGTCATAAATGTTTTATAGTGTGTAAATGTTATAGTGGATTTGTACAATGACGGCAATGTCATAAATGTTTTATAGCGTGTAAATGATATAGTGGATTTGTACAATGACGGCTGTGTGACATACATTTTATAGTTTATAAATGGAATTGTGGATTTGTAAAATGACAGCTGTATGACAAATAAATGAATGATGACATCAACGACCAGTCTGCTTTGTGCCAGCCATTGAGGATTGACCTTCTTTAGCTTCATCGTAATGATGTACTAAGTGTCAGACAGTCTATCTTCCATTCTTCCAATGTTTTTAAAGCTTGTAGACAGACATCCAACCTGGTGTCCAGAGGAAAGACATGGTCCTTAACCCAGTTTTTGTTGTTGTTGATGAATGATGTGCAAGACATGATATTGTTAGTTTAGTTCTAGATACTTTTTTTCCATAAATAATTGTACTTTTCATTGATTGAAGCTGTGTGTCCTTTTCTCTCTCCTTCAGCTCCTGCACTATTCTTCCTTTATTTTTCATCTTTGTCTCTATTTTCAAGAGTAATTCTATTTCTTTTGCCCTGTAGTTTCTAGAAAAGTGACTTTTCTGATTGTACTTTCCTCAGTGGGTTCTATTCAACTCCAACTGCATGTTCCTCACCCAATATAATTATCAATGTTCCATGATAAAGCTGAACTAGACAAGTAACATCACCACATTGATTCTCTGAACTGTTTATTTCAGTGTATGATATGTACATGCGAGGAGGTAATGGTGATGCTAGAGGAGTGACCAGTGACACAGTACAAGAATCTGGAAACTGTAAGCTCTTCTGTATTTAATGTTTTTACATCAGTAAATTTGTTATTTAATACCTCTAGTTCAATTCTTATTTTCTTCTGCATTACATTTGTCATTTGAGCAAAAGCTGCCAATCAACTCTTGTTAAGTTATCTGTAGATTTGTTTATAACTTTTTGGATTGTGTATCATTTGTAAAAACTAGAAGACATACACAACAGCCAGGTGCAGGATGTATTTATGAGGAAAAGAAATCTTAGATCAAGACAGCAATTAGAACTCTCAGATCAAGATAGCAATTAGAACTCTCAGATCAAGATAGCAATTAGAACTCTCAGATCAAGACGGCAATTAGAACTCTCAGATCAAGATAGCAATTAGAACTCTCAGATCAAGATAGCAATTAGAACTCTCAGATCAAGACAGCAATTAGAACTCTCAGATCAAGATAGCAATTAGAACTCTCAGATCAAGATAGCAATTAGAACTCTCATATCAAGACGGCAATTAGAACTCTAAGATCAAGATAGCAATTAGAACTCTCATATCAAGACGGCAATTAGAACTCTCAGATCAAGATAGCAATTAGAACTCTCAGATCAAGACAGCAATTAGAACTCTCATATCAAGACGGCAATTAGAACTCTCATATCAAGACAGCAATTAGAACTCTCAGATCAAGATAGCAATTAGAACTCTCATATCAAGACGGCAATTAGAACTCTCAGATCAAGATAGCAATTAGAACTCTCATATCAAGACAGCAATTAGAACTCTCAGATCAAGGTAGCAATTAGAACTCTCATATCAAGACGGCAATTAGAACTCTCAGATCAAGATAGCAATTAGAACTCTCAGATCAAGATAGCAATTAGAACTCTCATATCAAGACGGCAATTAGAACTCTCATATCAAGACGGTAATTAGAACTCTCATATCAAGACGGCAATTAGAACTCTCATATCAAGACAGCAATTAGAACTCTCAGATCAAGATAGCAATTAGAACTCTCAGATCAAGATAGCAATTAGAACTCTCAGATCAAGATAGCAATTAGAACTCTCAGATCAAGATAGCAATTAGAACTCTCATATCAAGACGGCAATTAGAACTCTCAGATCAAGATAGCAATTAGAACTCTCATATCAAGACGGCAATTAGAACTCTCAGATCAAGATAGCAATTAGAACTCTCAGATCAAGATAGCAATTAGAACTCTCATATCAAGACGGCAATTAGAGCTCTCATATCAAGACAGCAATTAGAACTCTCAGATCAAGATAGCAATTAGAACTCTCATATCAAGACGGCAATTAGAACTCTCAGATCAAGATAGCAATTAGAACTCTCATATCAAGACAGCAATTAGAACTCTCAGATCAAGATAGCAATTAGAACTCTCAGATCAAGATAGCAATTAGAACTCTCATATCAAGACGGCAATTAGAACTCTCAGATCAAGATAGCAATTAGAACTCTCATATCAAGACGGCAATTAGAACTCTCATATCAAGACGGCAATTAGAACTCTCAGATCAAGATAGCAATTAGAACTCTCATATCAAGACGGCAATTAGAACTCTCAGATCAAGATAGCAATTAGAACTCTTATATCAAGACGGCAATTAGAACTCTCAGATCAAGATAGCAATTAGAACTCTCATATCAAGACGGCAATTAGAACTCTCAGATCAAGACGGCAGTTAGAACTCTCAGATCAAGACGGCAATTGGAACTCTCATATCAAGACGGCAATTAAAACTCTCAGATCAAGATAGCAATTAGAACTCTCAGATCAAGATAGCAATTAGAACTCTTATATCAAGACGGCAATTAGAACTCTCAGATCAAGATAGCAATTAGAACTCTCATATCAAGACGGCAATTAGAACTCTCAGATCAAGATAGAAATTAGAACTCTCAGATCAAGATAGCAATTAGAACTCTCATATCAAGACGGCAATTAGAACTCTCATATCAAGACGGCAATTAGAACTCTCATATCAAGATAGCAATTAGAACTCTCATATCAAGATAGCAATTAGAACTCTCAGATCAAGATAGCAATTAGAACACTCATATCAAGACGGCAATTATAACTCTCATATCAAGACGGCAATTAGAACACTCATATCAAGACGGCAATTATAACTCTCATATCAAGACGGCAATTAGAACTCTCAGATCAAGATAGCAATTAGAATTCTCATATCAAGACGGCAATTAGAACTCTCAGATCAAGACGGCAATTAGAATTCTCATATCAAGACGGCAATTAGAACTCTCAGATCAAGATAGCAATTAGAACTCATCAGAACACTTCCTATCCTGACTACAATTCTGAAGACAGTCAGTTTCCTCAGTGGAAACAACATACTATTGTATTTAGAATGTGAACTGGGCACAAAAGACTCCCCAATCTTAGGAGCTTCAAGATTGGGTTGTCCATGTAAACAGAAACCCCACTATACTCTGAACACATGCTGCAGAAATGCTTTGACTATGCAGTAGAGAGATCCAAGATCAGTTAGCAGTTTTGTATGGACACCAGACTATGGTCACTAGAGGACATATGATACAACACAACTGTGGCCTTCTCATTGTAAAGCCTCTGGCTTTAAAAAAGCAGCTTGATTCTGTACAGAAGTGAGTAGGACATGCATTGAGAGAACCTGATGATAGTTAAACTATAATGTCTTTTCTCTGGAACCATCAGGGCAAAACAGATAGAGGCAGACCTAACAGGAAATAGAGACATAGATAAATAATAAGCAGAAGGCTCCAGTAAGCCTGTTATAATAAAAGACTAATTAGGGGTTACACATTATCACATTAACACAGGTAACGCAGCTGGCAAAAAGACAGGAACCTACATCTAACTCCTGTCTGCGACTCTATGGCATAGACAGTAGGACAAAAGAAGAAGAATTAGGGTTTGCTTAGTTCTGATAAGTTTAACCGAAAGGCACAGATATTACAGCTTAGCTGTAAACCACAACAGAAGAAGAAGAGGAATATATAACTATACATAACTTTACGTTGACTTCCCCCAACACTTCTTTTTCTTAAAGACCATGCCGTGTGGCGTTGGTAGTAATGTCTATCCACAACCTTCTGTCTCCTGTACTTTCAATCAACTCTGACACAGATGATCTTCCATGCCATGATGTCAAACCGTCCAGCATCTGTTCTCTCGGTCTCCCTCTGCCTCTCCTACCCTCTAACTTTCCTACCACCACGATGTACTCCAGTTTTCTGCTTCTCATCACATGACCCAAAGAACATAGATTGTCTCTTTGTGATGCGGGTAATCAGTTCTCTTCCTGAGTCACTTTCTTTTAAGACGTCTTTATTACTCTTTTTATCTGTCCAGTGTATTCTCATCATTCTTCTATAAAACCACATCTTCGCAGCTTCCAAATAAGTTTTCACTAATTTACCAACTGTCCATGATTCACATCTGTATGTCAATATAGGATTTATATAGCTTTTGGGAATTCTCTTTCTTGTCTTAATTGACAAAGAGTAGTTGCATAAAATATTCTTCATTTTGTAAAATACTGCCTTTGCTTGAGCTGTTTGACATATAACTTCCTTAATACATCTTCCATCGGATGTTATCAAGGTACCCAGGTACTTAAACATATCAGCTTGCTTGAGGTCAGTTTTTTTTGGTAATTACCATTACTTCTGTGTTATATATCTGATTCACAAAACAAGTTCTTGAACTTGACATCTCCCTGCATGGATTCCTTGACCAAATCCCCTGGCCACTCTCTGCATGGGTTCCTTGACCCAATCCCCTGGCCACTCTCTGCATGGGTTCCTTGACCCGATCCCCTGGCCACTCTCTGCATGGGTTCCTTGACCCAGTCCCCTGGCCACTCTCTGCATGGGTTCCTTGACCCGATCCCCTGGCCACTCTCTGCATGGGTTCCTTGACCCAGTCCCCTGGCCACTCTCTGCATGGGTTCCTTGACCCAGTCCCTTGGCCACTCTCTGCATGGGTTCCTTGACCCAGTCCCCTGGCCACTCTCTGCATGGGTTCCTTGACCCAGTCCCCTGGCCACTCTCTGCATGGGTTCCTTGACCCAGTCCCTTGGCCACTCTCTGCATGGGTTCCTTGACCCAGTCCCCTGGCCACTCTCTGCATGGGTTCCTTGACCCAGTCCCCTGGCCACTCTCTGCATGGGTTCCTTGACCCAGTCCCCTGGCCACTCCCTGCATGGGTTCCTTGACCCAGTCCCCTGGCCACTCTCTGCATGGGTTCCTTGACCCAGTCCCTTGGCCACTCTCTGCATGGGTTCTTTAACCTGATCCCCTGGTGACTAGCCGCTGCACCAGTTTCTTCAGACTGTGATAGTCTATGGCAACAGGACATAAATGAGTAAGTAAAGAATGCATGTTCATGTCAGGAGCCGTGTTGAGTATGGGGTGCCAGACATATTTTTATAGACCAAATGGCACTGATGGGTAGTGTAGTAAAATATAATAGCTGCCTTTATTTCTAAAAACATCTCCTGGTATCCATTTAAAAAAAAAAAAGGTCAACTTGGGAACCCAGTTCTTTTAAAACAAAATCCGAACAGGAGACTTTTGAGAATCGCAAAAGCCATAACAATAAAAATAAAAAACCCTTTGTAAGCAGACGGAATTTATCGTACATTTGAAGTTACCCTGGTAGTCAGTGACTACGGTTAGCTTCCGGCGACCTTGAAAGAGAAACAATGTATTGAAGAAACTATTCACATTTCAGTTGAATTTATTCAGCTTTGTGCTTTATTTAAAGTTAATGTAACTCTGTAGTAACACACCTGATGAGATATGCCTGGCAATAAATTGTGCAATGTATTGTTTGTATCCGTATTATTTAAAATCTTTTTGACGGGAATTCAAGCCTATGGTCACCAGGACCAGGCACTGGACCTAGAGGTGATTATTTTACATCTCAGCCACTCCACCCTATTAGGTTTGTTGTTTTAAAATAACCTGTCTCTTTGTTTCAGTCTGTGTGGAGTGTAACATAATGTACAAGTCACAGTGCAAGTTCCACCCCTGTGATTATGTCTACATTACCGACACACCAATCTTGTCACATGCCAGGCTGACTTTACCCTCATGCCTGAAGCTAGGAACCTCATCCGTTGTTGGGCATATCAACAACACAGGTAGGAAACAATGTACATGTTTGGGCAGCTTACAGTTCTTCTTCCTACTTCTGCAGTCTCAGACACAAAGGTGGTTGGCATGTTGTATTGGGGTTTACACCTACTTCATTGTTCATGCCTTTCAGCCCAACACATGTGATTTTAGCAGACCCCTAATTAATCAACTTTTTATTATATACTTGTGGGGGCAGTAGCTGTGCTGTTGCTTCCTAGGTTGGCCAAGCTACACCACATCAAAATAGGACATGTTATGTCTCACTGGCTATGGCTAAGCTGACTACAACAAACAGGACTCCTTGGTGGATGGTCACAGATTTGACAACCACAATCCTTCTATTACAATCATTTACTGACTATTTACATGCTGTATTGCACTGTTTGCTCGCTCAGAAGATTTGATTATTTACACAGACGGTTCAGTGTCAAAAGGCAAAAGAAGTGCTTGAGGTTTCTTAGCAAAAGTTAATGTTCGACATTTGGTGCAGGAGAGCTTAGCATATGATACCACAACATCCAGCTTAAGAATGGAGGTGGAGGCTGTCACTGCAGCTTTCCGCTGGCTAGAGCGGAGGAAGATCAGGACAGGCATGCTTCGGGCAGAGTAGCATGCCTCGCTACGGAAGACATGAGTGAGGAGTATTGTCTGGATTTTTTCACCAGGGTATGCCGATGTGTTGGGAAATGAACAGACAGACAGACTGGCTGGCTCTGCACAGCTTGGTGGAGTACTGATGTATGATAAGGCAGACGTGGTTAGTGCCTTGTGGGAGAGCTTGTACAATGCAGAGGAGCAGATTGATCACCAGTGTGGTGAGACTGATGCAGTTGGGAGTGACAAGAGGTTCTGGCAAATGCTCGATGCTCAGAGGAAAGGCAAGACGGACATTTAATCAGAATGCTACTGGCACCATTAGTATCGAAACTCTTCGCTGGCTGCTGAAGATGGGGACGGAGCGCTTATGAGAATGCTGATGTCAGTTCTTGAATCAAATCAGATCAAATCATGTTTGCCAGTCAACCATTCATAACAGTCCATCCTTCAGAGTGAAAGTATATCTGCTGAGAGTGGAGGAATCAACAGTCTGCAAACAAATAAGCCAGATCTGTAAAAAAGGAGGTGTACGCAAAACTCAAGCTCTGCAAACAATTCTGAGAAAAAGACTGCAAAAGAGTCAAAGATTGGACGGACAGTTAGAACTTTCCGCTGGAGTTTACAGCCGGTGGATGTGAAGAAGAAGAAGAAGAAGCTAATAGTCCTCCAGGGTCGACTTCTAGATATTTAAAAACAGCAACCAAATGCAACACACTCAGCTTAGAATTTTTTTTTCCCTGGACACACATCCTCAATCAGTCAATGTCCAGTGTGCACTGGTTCCTGCCATTTTATTTGTTTAAAATGTTTCCGGGGAAATAGGGTTTAAATGAATAGTAATTTTCTTTCACTGTGACTACATTACCTGTATTGAATGACCTCTGAATTTGTGGTTGTTGCAGGTGTGTTTGCAAAAGAGAAGATTGCACTGAGAACAAAGTTTGGACCTTTAATTGGCTCCCCAGTATCATGTGACAAGTTAAGCTCAACAAGAAGCTTCTCACTGTGGCAGGTATTTCATTGCAAATTTTCATTAAGCAATCTTTATTAGTTTTTGAAATATCTTGGTAAATGTTGAGCACAAATTTGGCTAATTTCCGCATAAAATGTTTTCAATCAATTTCCCTGAAGATATGTGGATTTTAGCCACCAAAATTAATTTTCCTTCATACCCATGTGGGTTCTGAGGCCCTATTATAGGGAAAACAAGAATAGACCCACTGCCTACCCAAAAGCATGTCGTAAGAGTCGACTAATTGGGAGCTTCCTTCGAAGTCAGAGTGCATCTGCCTGAGAGGCAAGGAACCAGCATTCTGCATACAAATGAGTCAGATCTGTAAAACAGATGCACATGCAACACTCAGGTTCTGGAACAGGACTGCAGTCCAGAAGTGGACGAGTAACCAGAGCTTTCTGCCGGAGTTAACTGCTGGTGAAGGCGAGAAAGAAGAAGAAGAATTTTCCTTCAATCTTCAACTAGTATGTACCCATAGAAAGCATTGTTTCCAACAGATTTAATCGAATTCCATTTGGGAGTTCAACCTATCCTCAAGAGCTTCACCAAAACTTATTCAGTCTCAACACCTGGTATATGCGATGTGGTCAACATCATGCCAGCCAACTTTGCTTCCCAGAACATTATCTGGTATCCACTGAGACTGGGTCAACCCCCTAGGAACCAATGTCTTTTTTGAAAACCCCCCAAAATTTGCCTCAATTTGGATTCAAACCCAGGATAAGATTTTATGAACTCTTGATCCAGAGACTGGCAAGAAGCATGCTAGCTACTGTGTTACTGTATTCACCATACTATAATACCGCAGTATAAAGTGCTTCTTCGCCTTCTTTGATCCTTATTTAGGATAATGGCAGAAATAGACCCCCCCCCCAAGTATAGTTCCCGCCTGATCAGAGTTTATTGAGCCACTGTGACAGGGTTATAGTTCCTCAGCCTGTAAAGAAAATAGTTGAATCTCCGACACTGGCAATTAGTTTTCCTGACAAATGATGCCCATAAAGCAGATTATTCATGTTTAGCAACAAGAAAAAGCCACTCGGTGCCAGATCCGGTGAGAATGGTGATGTTCATTTTCCAGATGACCAGGACCTGACCCCGAAGTTAAAAAAAAAGGGAGCTTTTAAACCAGTGACAGGCGAGGCATATGATGTTAGATCCATATTTGTATAGAGCATTTGATACTTGACGGGTCATGTGGTCAGTGTTATGCCACCAGTTTTACTTCCCAGGACATTTCCTGATTCTGATTGTAGGCTGGGTCAGTCTGGTAGCCAGTGTAAGTTTTTTCCCCCTACAATCCACCCAGTGAAGATTCGAATCCAGAATATTCAGGCCAGCAGGAGAGTATCTAGCCACTATACTCTTGTAGCTTCAGGACTTGGTGACCAAACCAGAGTTTTGGGGTTCAGAGCTTTACAATCAGGGCATCAGGAAGGCGAAGAAGAGATGAGAGAAATTCATCAGCTTGAGTGCTGAATACATAGATAAGGAATTAAGTTCACACACCATTCTGCCGGTATGTACATTGACTTCTTTGTACTAAATTGCAAAATGTTTTGATAATCCTCATTTATTCTCCAGTGCTAATCCCCCCTCACATTCTCTGTTGTCCATTCAGACTTTCATTGGGACCAACGTGAAAGTGGTGGACACAAACGATGAGAATTCATCAAACTGGCTTATGTTTGTGAAACCTGCCAGAGTGTCATTGGAACAGAACTTGGTTGCCTTTCAACATGGGACTAGTGTCTACTTTGTCACTCGTGCAGACATAGAGCCAGGACAAGAGCTACTCTATTGGTTTTCCAAGGACTATTCTCACATGCTAGGTAAGTTTGTTGGCTCTTGCCCTTGCTTGAGGTTTTCATTCATCTTGTAGCAGATCTCACACGTGTACCGCAGATTTGTTTCTTAACTGACCTTGACTCCCAAGTTGTCATAGCCTAAAATGGATACCAGGTAAAATCATGGAATGTAAAGACAGCTGCATTGAGCTGATTTGAGTTGATTCAAGAACCAACATCACAGCACTTGGGGCATTCCCATAAATGCTCTGTCCCTATCGGCAGCTAGTGCAGAGTTCCAATACCGATGGCATAGCAGTTTGATATTTCCGTCTTGCTTTTCCTCTGAGAATCAAATGTCAGCCCAATCCCTTCGTCACTCTTTGCTGCATCACTTTCGCCAGAGTAATGATCCATTTTCTCCAACTTTTACCTTTTATCTTTGAATTGCACATGTGCTTCCATAAGACCTTAACCATGTCTGTTTTATCATGCATCAGTATTCCACCAGGTTGTGCAGAGCCAGCCAGTCTGTCTGCCTTTTCATTTCCCAACACACCTGTTAATCAGTTACATCATTCACAGAGTGTCTATGGTCTCTATCAGGGCTATTCAACTGGTAGCCCATGGGCTAAATCTGACCTGACAGCCTAGCAAGTGGCTTTATTACCATTACCAGTTGTGTTTAATGATCATTCTATGCTGGGACGAGTCTCTTGCCTGTAATGATCCCCATTGTCAAAATGTTGGCCTCTGAGTAAACTTAGTTGAAAAGCCCTGATCTATATAATATGGGTCTAGCACTTTATACCTGGTTTGCCAGTCTTAAAATACGTCCTTGACATTTTACTTTAACTCTTTGAGTCCCAGGGGGTTTAGCATCACAGGCCCAAGGGTAGTCAGAAGAGACATGAAATCGGCGTTCATTGGGCTTGTAGGTAGAAACCTATTAACGTATGATGTGTTTCTTGGGACTCAAAGAGTTAACACAAGACAGACAGACGTCACACTGTAGACAGCACATGAAAAGAACTTGCTCCCTCCAACTCTGTCAGTCATATGCTGTGGACTTGATGTTTGCACATTTGAGGCCAGTCCAGACAACACAATTCTGTACCCAAGTCTTCCTTGGTCTGCCTCTTCTACTCCTCCCCTCTACTGAATCCTGTAATATTGTTTGGGAGAGACTGGTAGAACTGGTTACATGTGCATGGTGTTGAAAAATTAATATAAAAAATAAATTAACCAACTCTTTCAGTCCCAGGTACTTGTTACTTCAACACTTTCTGCCCTAAGGTTTGTGTACTTTATAGCACAATTTTTTTTTTTAAATCAGTAGGAGTTATTGTAACAATTGAGATTTAATGGGTGAAGATAACAACAGAACTGGGCATAAAAAGTCGAAAAGTTTGTAATAATGGGTGAAGATAACAACAGAACTGGACATAAAAAGTCAAAAAGTTTGTAATAATGGGTGAAGATAACAACAGAACTGGGCATAAAAAGTCACAAAGTTTGTAATAATGGGTGAAGATAACAACAGAACTGGACATAAAAAGTAAAAAAGTTTGTAATAATGGGTGAAGATAACAACAGAACTGGGCATAAAAAGTCACAAAGTTTGTAATAATGGGTGAAGATAACAACAGAACTGGACATAAAAAGTAAAAAAGTTTGTAATAATGGGTGAAGATAACAACAGAACTGGACATAAAAAGTCAAAAAGTTTGTAATAATGGGTGAAGATACAACAGAACTGGACAAAAAAGATCAAGAAATTTGTAAAAATGGGTGAAGATACAACAGAACTGGACATAAAAAGTCAATAAGGTTTGTAATAATGGGTGAAGATAACAACAGAACTGGACATAAAAAGTCAAGAAGGTTTGTAATAATGGGTTAAGATACAACAGAACTGGACATAAAAAGTCAAGAAGGTTTGTACTATATCAAGAATAACCAATAAATGTACAATGAGTTCCCTAGTACTAAAAGAGTTGTTGTTTGGGAAGCATTTTTTAGAATTCATTGCTCTTTTGATTCCTCTGAAAACTAGGTATGACATCGAAATCAAAGAACTCTCTTCACCAACTCTGTCCTCACTGCCCCGTCTGCAAGCAAGTCTTCCCGGACAGGAAACAGGTCAGTATTGTTAGCTGTTTTTGAGCTGCTTTGTCATGTCTGTGTCTCTCCTCCCCATAAATTGTGAAATATGGATTAGTATAAAAATAGTAAGTAAAGGACCCTTTTCCACACCTTTAGGCGTATAGGGCTAGACCTATAGCATACACCAATCGGCACAAGATGGGTAATGTGGTCAACATCACACAGGCCACCTTTACTTTCCAGAACTGCACCCGGTACCCACTCAAGGCTGGGTCGATCTGGGAGCCAAGGTCGTTTTTTTAAAAGTCCGGCTCTGCCAGGGAGCGAGCCCACAACATTCCATTCCACGGCTAGTGTCTAGCCCCTCTGCCATGGTGACTCCCATACAAATAGTTAAGTATCATTATTTGGAGCCAGTATTTTCATACATTAATTTTCACTGCAAGAGGTGGAATTTTACACTGTTTGTAGACAAGCTTCGGAGAACATAGTTAGGAGTTAAGAACCGACATCATAGCATTCGGGACATTCCCATAAATGATCCATCCCCATCTTCAACAGCAAGCACAGAATTCCAGTCTGTAATATGCTCTGCTAGGGGCATGTATTAATTTGCATTGCTTTCAGATGAACAGTGAGTTGAAATGACACAGCATGAACGAATATTGAGTTGTTTGCTTTTATTCGTTGAATCGCCAATTATCGCATACATACATTCTCGCTGCCTCGTGCTCGTCTTGCTTGGCTGAATTTAGCGACCTGGTCGGACTTCTCACACACTACAGGAATTCATCAGCGTCTCTCGAACCATCCATCTATCCTTCACGAACCTTGGTACCTGACATTACGACGTGTGGAAAAACATTCAGTCCTCCTATTGAAATATAACATTCGTTTCACAAATCATTTATTCTTCTCAGGCGTCCACTCATGCGTCCTCTCTCAGTCAGGGCTGAACTTCAACTGTCTTACTCCTGTCTCTCGGTTCACGTCTTCCGTTCACATCTCATGTTTTTCTTGTGTCCCTCACTTCGTTCACCATGAGACACACTTATCCCGTTTTTCTCTTCTCTCACGGGTCCTCCGACCTTTTCCTCCCCATCGGGAACTCTCTGGCATTTCCCCGGGAATTCACAACATTACACAGTTGCAATGGTACCAGTATCTGGCTGCATGTCCGTCTCACCCCTCCCCTGAGTGTTGTGCATCGGTCAGATCCCTTAGCCCTTGATTTTTGTGTGCTTCTACGCTGTTTACTCACTACCAGAGGGCTCTTACAACACCTAGCTTGTCATGCGTCTATTTACCACCAAGTGGTGCAGCACCAGCCAATATATCTGCCTGTTTGGGACGAGAGAGAGAGAATAATGCTAAAGAGAACTAACGCTTTCATAGCACAGCTAAAATATTTGTGGAAGAAATTAATGCCATTACCAAACTTAAAATATTAATCTCTCAAACTGTTGTAAGAACAGAAGTGCAGGGAAAGACTCAAATAATGTCTGAAGTCTGGGGAAAGACTAAAATAATTTCTGAAGTATGGGGAAAGACTAAAATAATTTCTGAAGTATCGGGAAAGACTAAAATAATTTCTGAAATATGGGGAAAGACTAAAATAATTTCTGAAGTCTTGGGAAAGACTAAAATAATTTCTGAAATATGGGGAAAGACTAAAATAATTTTTGAAGCCTGGGGAAAAATTAAAATAACTGCTAATAAACTGTAAACATTCATTAATTTGTGTCTGCATAAATATAATGAATAAAATATTGTGGCAAAATCCCTGATTAAGCACTTAGGGAAAGAATTAAACAAGATGAAAACAATATTTGCTGATAAAAGCTGTTAGCTGCAATGGGAAGAAAAGCATAAAATTATTCCTTTTGGAATGTTTTTGGCCACAAGTATTGCTTTAAGATATATTAGTTCCTAAAAGTAAAGGTAAAAGGTAAAGTCAGGAGATGTGAACAGGCGTCATTGCACACGGTTATAAACCATAAGTGTTCTGCCACCAGTACAGTCCACCTGTGTCGCCGTCTGTACAAAACTCCATAGCTACAGTGACGTTCCTCCATTTACCCCAGAGTGTTAATTCTGGTACCCACTTCTTAGAGGCTGGATGAACCACGGGAACCAATCAGTTTTGAACACCGGCCATGGGCTGCAACTAGTCCCAGCTGGATTTGAAAGCGAGTCTCCTATCGACTAGTTTCATTACTTTTTCTCATTCCATTTTTATTTTTACACTTTACCAAGATATTTACCTGCAACCAAACTGAACTTTAAAAATTCAGTAGATTAGCTTTATCATGTGTTAGTGAGGCTGTTCTTCTGTTCCTCCTCTTCTGCTGTTCAACCTCCAATGGAGCATAGGCCTTCTACCAACTGATGCCATGTCCAGTTCTTTGCTTTTCCCTGCAGCTTACCCTGTGTCCTCCTCACCGTTATCCTCACACTTTAGTTCCCTTCTCCAGGTTTTTTTTTTGGGGGGGAGGGGGGAGGGGGGGAATTTTTTATTCTGTTAACTCTATGGGTTTCAGTGCAAAGACATTCTAGTTATAGTTGTATCAGGTTTTCACAGTGTGTGTCCTGTCCAGTGCCAACATCTTTTCCTCACCTCTTGATTTACAGGAATTTGTTTAGTTCTCTCTCAACATTAGTGATTCAGTCATACCATTTAATTCCCTCTATTCTGCGCAGGCACCAGTTAATGAATGTTTGTAGTTTATTAGTAATTGTTTTAGTTAGTTCTCCATGTTTCAGCTTCATACAGCAGTACCAGGGTCATTAGGGGTCCAGAAAAATGTAGCCACACACTATCTGCTCTGAACACACATGCCACATCAGTTTTTAAATTAATAAACACATCATCAACACAGGTTTACAGTCATGTGAGAGTGCAACATCCAAAGCCATGCACAAAACGATGTAGCCACTGCTCCCGCAAGTTTTCACAGGTGTCACATCTCAATGCCCATATTGCTTCTGTGCACTTGCGGGTGAAGAAGTTTGTGTGCTCACAGTGTGGCAAGCGATTTTCTGACAGCAGCAACTTTAGAAAGCATGTCAAATCTCACAATGGTGAGTTTATCTGTGATGGTTTTTTTTATATAGCTGACTGGTAATTTTATCTTTGATAACAGTCAAGTTGTTTGTCCACCTTTGGAGTTAAGTCTTTTTCCAGAACCTGAGTTTTGCATGCACATCAGTTTACATATCTGACTTATTTGTATGCCGATTGTTGGTTGCTTGCTTCTCAGGCAGATGCACTTCAAAGGAATCCCTCCCAGTTAGTTCACTGTCATGACAAGCTTGTTGGGGAGTTGGTGAGGCAGTGGGTCTATTCTTGTTCCCCCAGAATAAGGCCCTGGAACCCACATGAGGCATTGTCATTTTAATGTAGGCAATTTCAAACATTCAGTAAATACAACATAAAGATCAATGTAAACAAAACCAAAACAATGCAAGTTAGTAGAACCCCTGCCCCACTACACATACAGCTGAATGGTTCTGCTCTGAATCAAGTTAGGGAGTTTAAATATCTAGGAAGTTTGATCACAGAAGATGGTAGAATTGACAGAGAAATGCACTTATATACCAATTGTCACCATTATTAAGACATCCAAGCAAAACTCTGAGTGCAAAGAGACAAATGATTAATAGCATATTTATTCCAACATTAAGCTACCAGTGTCAGACATGGACACTATCTAAAGCCCATATTCGCAAAATCATCACCTGTGAGATAAGGTGCCTGAGAAAAGCAGCCAACCTAATCATACGAGATCGAGTGAATAAATAAATCATCAGGCAAATTGTGGAAACGACACCTTGTACTAGATTCACCGAGAAACAGCAGATCAAGTGGTTTAGCCATCTCGTTAGAATGCAGCAAGATCAAATACCATCACAAGCACTACATCTCAGAAGATCAGCTACAAGAGCAAGAGGATTGCCTGCGGAAAACATGGATCGACAACATTGAAGACACTATACGCCTTCACGGCATGACAATAGCCAGTGGCAGCCAACGTGTACTAGATTGCAAATTATTCCTTCCCATGACGCTTAACTGCAGAAGTGGTTTATGATGATGATGATGAATTTTAAACATTCATGTTTTAACAAAAAATAGTTATATGTTATTTTGTTATTCAATTGTTAAATCCTTGTTTTATGTGCCTTCTTATTTGTTTATTACTACAAAAAAGCCCTTCATGTCCATATTTTCTGCTGTTATAGATTACTTTTTATGTTGACCTTGGTTGTTTACAAGCTCTATTGTCTTTCTTGCCCACAGAGTTTTCTAGTTACAGTTTATGTTGTACTTAGTACTCCACTTCCTTGTCTGGGTTCCATGCCCCATTGGGGTGGAGGGGGGGGGGTGGGGGGTGGGCGGGAGGGAATAGATCCACTGCCTCCCAAACAAGCATGTCATAAAAGGCAGCTAATTAGGAATTTTTCTCCTAAATAGGAGCCTATCTGCCTGAGATGTGAGCAACCAACAGTCTGCATACAAGTAAAGTCCAGAACTGGATAAAAATACCAAAATTTTCCACCAGAGTACGCCACGAAGGTCCTAGGTTCGCTCCCTGGCAGAGCCGGACTTATTTCAAAAATGACCTTGGCTCCCAGGTCGACCCAGCCTTGAGTGGGTACCGGGTGCAGTCCCTGGAAAGTAAAGGCGGCCGGTGTGATGCTGACCACATCACCCATCTTATGCCGATTGGTCTATAAAAATATAGGTCTAGCCCTATATGCCCTATACGCCTAAAGGCGTGGAAAAGGGTCTTTACTTACTTTACTTACGCCAAGAAGAAGAAGAACAAGTACTCCATCAATAAAGACTTAAGTAGAAATGTTTTGTTGTATATGTGCTCAATGTTTCCATTCCTGCTTTTGTGCATTTTAGTTACAGTTTGTGTTGTATTTAGTACTTTCTTTTAGATATCAGCTCAGACACAGTCTCTCCAGTTTACAACTACAGCTAGGCTGGTTTGTGAAGTCCTGTAAGGGATAGGCAACTTACTTGTTGA